TTGAAGCTAACGGGATGGAGAGTACACTCCGCCTCTCTTGCCTCCCCCCCCCCCCCCCTGGGAACCCCCCCCCCCCCCCCGGGCAAATGTGCAGAATGTCAGCCTGGCCCTTTTCTACCTGAGTATTGAATCCCAACCAAGTTCCCTCAGGGGGCTTCCTGCAATTTTAAGAAATTACCAGAGGTCCGAGGCTTAACTCCAACCATTAGGATTCCACGTGCAAAAACAATCCGAACGAATCTTTTTTTTAAAAAAAGAAAATTATATATAGATATATAGATATATAAATCTCTATATTTTTCAACTAGTTTTTTTTTTTCTTCCCTTTTTAGAAGGGACTCATTATGAAAAAGTCTCCCACAGTTGGAACACAACGGAATTATTGATTTCCTTCAGCAAAGAGAGAACAAGTTAGCAAGACTGAACATTTCTTATTATATTTGAAATAATGGTTTTGTAAAAATAATAATAATAAATCACTGTTAATTACGTTGCCAAGATTGGTAGGGTAAGAGTTTTACCCTCTTTTATCTTGTTTAAATACTTTTTTTCCCCTTGTCTTGTTTCGTTTCAAAAAGGATCCCCCATCGGGCCGTTGGCTGTGCTAAAACCTTGGCTGATGTGCGGACATCCCGTGTTTTAATCTGAGGTCTTTGTGATGTTTCCCCCCCGCCCCCACCTCCCCCCAGCTCAAGTTTTGCCCCACTGGTCTGGAGTTCTGGTGGCTGTGTGGAATTCCAAGTGTCTTGTCCTATATTCTCGTCACTCTGAAACCAGAATTCTGGCTATCGGGAACTTAATCTCTGTTTATATGCTGATTATATAGTTTTGCTCAAGACCCCGGCATGTGCCAAGGAGGGCTTAAACCTATCGCAAAAGGGGCACAAGCTTTAGCAGACGGCTATCATTTTTTTATATATATATAAAAATAAAAATAAGAACCTGCACATTTCCCTTGGTGTTGCAGCCGATTGGTAATGCTCAGAAGAGATAGTTTTACCCCGTAATTGTTCCATTGTTCATCTCTGTAACGGACGACCGTATATAACTTCTCTGTTGGGGCAAGCCATCCGTTGATTGTATTGAGGGGGAAAGAAAGGAAGAAAAAAAACCAGAAACACACAAGTATTACGATGGCCTTCGATGAATGTCTTCCAGAGAACTTTTGCAACTTTAATTTTAGGAAATGTTGAGAAGATTTGCTATTTATGTTTCTGCGATTGTTATTGAAGAGGAAAAAAAAGAAAGAAAGAAAGAAAGAAAACCTGTACACAAATGACTATGCCGTCACAGGTACAAAGAATTAAATAAAGGTAACTTTACCTTAACTTAAATACTTCCTGCCTTAAAGAAAGCATTTCCATGGCTACAGCTGGGGAAAGGGTGAATTTTTGTCCACAGAGTTTTACTCTAGAGTGTGGGTGAGTGAAATGTTGGGACAGGGTGCTCATCCTTTTGCTTGCCTCCCCCCCCCCCCCCCCCCCGCTTGTTACACCTGGTCATTCTGCAACCGTGGCTACTTAAGAGGGTTTTTGTGATGTTTTTTTGTGCTTCTCTCCTTGAGCCATAGGATCTGAGCCATAGCTATATTTTTATTTGAATCTAGCCAGAACCTCTTCTGTGGATTCTTTACCCCCAACGGTACTTCCACACCTCGGATCCAAGCTGTGGGGAGGGGAACGTGTGGAGGGGAGGTGGGGGGGGACACTGGTGAGCACGGCCTCACCTCTGTTGAGTGTAGAGCGGCCTACCTTGGTTTCCCCCTCCAGGAGCAAAATTAAAGACACAATCCTGGGAATGAAAGTCCCACCAAAAAGGGGCAGTGATTCTCCTTCGGGTTCTAGAACAAGGGCCTCCAGACTCAGCCACTTGTAAGGCGGGTGGACTTCGACTCCCAAGAATCCCCCAGCCGTCATGACTGGCTGGTGAAGTCCACAAGCCTTAAGCGGCCAAGTTTGTGAGGCCCCTGTCTTCGAGCATGCTGGCTGGGGAATTCTGGGAATTGAAGCCCACAAGTCTTTAAAGTGACCAAGCTTGGGGACTCCTCTTCTAGAACAGGAGATTGAATTCCTGTGGGCCAGCAAGCTCCTAAATTTTGCACGGGCCACTCCAAAACGAGACCCTTTCCCATGTACCCAAGCATCAGTCAGTGTCGTGTGTGAATAGTGAGACATTTCTGGATGAGAGCAGGGTCTGGGTGTGACCTGGATCAGGGGTCTTCCACTCTTCTTCCACAGGCACCTGCACCGGATTTAGTGGGTGGTGTCATATCAACTAACTAATGGCATTGTTTCCTTTTGCAGAGGAATAATGGCACAATTGGGGAAGAGGAGGGGAGGGAGAGGAGGGGAGGGAGACTCAGGCTTGTGGTCCTCAGGAACAGAAAGGCCGCCATTGCCTGGGTGAGGGTCTTGGCAGGGCCAGGAAAGGGGCTCGCTTCCTTTCTCCTGCATTATTTGGAAAATCCAGCTGTCAGCCAGCCCTGTGGCTCTGGGACAGCCTTTCCCAACCTTGCTCATTTCCAGGTGCATGAACTTCCAACTCCCAGAATTCCACAGCCAGCATGGCCCTCGAGAAGAATTCTTGGGGTGGAAGCCCATATATGCCTGGAAATAGACGAGTCTTGGGAAGATCCCTCTGGGAGGCATCCAGTGAGACAGGTGGAACTTTTTTCTTTGTCCTGAACTGAGAAAAAGGCAATCCTTCCTATAGAGGTGCCTCACCCCACACCCCAGTGGCGTGAAATCTGGATTTGGAGTGGTGCAAGATGCTCACGTTTCGGGTTTGGGCGGTTCCTTCTCTGTGGCTGGCTACAATCACCTTGCGTACGTTGTGTGCTGTTGCTTAAGCAGGCCTCTCTTAGCTGAGGGATTAGCCGGGAAAACCTCGCAGAGTGGTTGATGAAATGGTGTCATTGACGGAACCAAGGGGCATCCAACCTTGGCAACTTTTTAAGATCGGTGGACTTCAACTCCCACCGATCTTAAAAAGTTGCCAGAGTGGGATACCCCGAGGTAAAGACGTTAGTTTCATGTGCCCCTTTTGGTCTTTTGAACTGTGAAAAACTTTTGGATTTGCAATTTGGGACAGTTAAGCGCACACACTATGCAATTTGGGTGGTCTTGTATTTATTTGTATAAAGAATCAATTTCCCGACCTGGATTCCTGCCCTTCTTGTAGATAATAGCTATTGTGTCAAACTTCAGAGAGAGTGTAATTCCCTCGTATGACCTGCAACCATCTATGGAAATGTCTATTGGAGAAATTAAGTGCTTTCTTTAACAATGTCTTAAAAAAAAGGTTTCCATTGGGGTATAGTAATTAAGATTTATTTTATACAATCTGTGCTTTTTTAATTATAATCTTGGGGTTTTTTGCTATCGTTTGATTTTTTTATAGATTTTTGTATTCCTTATATAACGAAGAAATAACTGGGGTTAATACCTGCTGAAGCGCTATATATATATATATATATATATATATATATATATATATATATATATA